TGATTTTGGGTCAGTTTCTGGTGCAGTTTTGGGGTGATTTTGGGTCAGTTTCTGGTGCAGTTTTTGGGGTGATTTGGGCCGATTTTGGGTCTCTCCCCAGGGATCCCATGTGGCTCACGCGCAGGAGGTGATTTTGGGGTGATTTTGGGGCAGTTTTTGGGGTGATTTTGGCCGATTTTGGGGCAGTTTTTGGGGCAGTTTTTGGCTGATTTTGGGTCAGTTTTTGGGTTGATTTTGGGTGATTTTGGGTCTCTCCCCAGGGACCCCATGGGTGCCGTGGCTCACGCGCAGGAGGTGATCTCAGACCTGCTCTGTAACCGCATCGACATCTCCCAGCTCGTCATCACCAAGGAGCTGACGCGCGCCGCCAGCGCCTACAGCGCCCCGCAGGCTCACGTGGCTCTGGCCGAGAGGTGAGGGGGCAAAATTGGGGTGAAAACAGGCAAAAACGGGAAAAAACGGGAAAAAACGGGGAAAAACAGGGAAAAAACGGGAAAAAACTGCACAGAAATGGGGTAAAAAATGGGGATAAAACCACTGTCAGTGCCTGCAGCGCCCCGCAGGCTCACGTGGCTCTGGCCGAGAGGTGAGGGGTAAAATTGGGGTGAAAACACCCAGAAACGGGAAAAAACTGCACAGAAATGGGACAAAACGGGAAAAAAATGCACAGAAATGGGAAAAAACTGCACAGAAATGGGGTAAAAAATGGGAAAAAAAGCACTGTCAGTGCCTGCAGCGCCCCGCAGGCTCACGTGGCTCTGGCCGAGAGGTGAGGGGGCAAAATTGGGGTGAAAACAGGCAAAAACGGGAAAAAACAGGAAAAAAATGCACAGAAATGGGAAAAAACTGCACAGAAATGGGGTAAAAAATGGGGATAAAAGCACTGTCAGTGCCTGCAGCGCCCCGCAGGCTCACGTGGCTCTGGCCGAGAGGTGAGGGGGTGGAAATTGGGGTGAAAACAGGCAAAAACGGGAAAAAACGGGGAAAAACAGGGAAAAAACGGGAAAAAACTGCACAGAAATGGGGTAAAAAATGGGGATAAAACCAGTGTCAGTGCCTGCAGCGCCCCGCAGGCTCACGTGGCTCTGGCCGAGAGGTGAGGGGAGAAAATGGGGTGAAAACAGGAAAAAACGGGAAAAAACTGCACAGAAATGGGAAAAAACGGGGAAAAAATACACAGAAATGGGGAAAAATCCCATGGGAATTGGGTTTTTTCCCAATTCTGGCTCTTTTTTCCCCAATTCTGGTTGTTTTTTTCCCAAATCCCGTTGTTTTTTTCCCCAATTCCAGCTGTTTTTTCCCCAATTCTGATATTTTTTCCCAATTCCCGTTGTTTTTTCCCCGATTCCGACTGTTTTTCCCCAATCCCGTTGTTTTTTCCCGATTCCGGCTGTTTTTGCCCCAAATCTTGTTGTTTTTTCCCCAATTCCAGCTGTTTTACCCCCAAATTCCCGTTGTTTTTCCCCGATTCCGGCTGTTTTTGCCCCAATCCCGTTGTTTATTTGCCCAATTCCGGCTGTTTTTGCCCCAATTCCCGTTGTTTTTTCCCGATTCCGGCTGTTTTTCCCCCAATCCCGTGCCCGTTTTTCCCAATCCCGTTGTTTTTCCCAATTCCGGCTGTTTTTCCCCCAATCCCGTTGTTTTTTCCCGATTCCGGCTGTTTTTGCCCCAATCCCGTTGTTTATTTGCCCGATTCCGGCTGTTTTTTCCCGATTCCGGCTGTTTTTGCCCCAATCCCGTTGTTTATTTGCCCGATTCCGGCTGTTTTTGCCCCAATCCCGTGCCCGTTTTCCCGCCCAGGCTGCGGCGCAGGGACCCCGGCAGCGCCCCCTCGCTCGGGGACCGCGTCCCGTACGTCATCGTCAGCGGCGCCCGCGGCCAGGCCGCCTACACCCGCTCAGAGGTCAGGGGTCAAAGGTCATCCTGGGGTCACTCAGGGTCATCCTG